TTTTTAGTAGAGACAAGGTTTCACCATATTGGCCAGGCTGTTCTCGAATTTCTGACCTCATGATCCGCCCACCTCGGCCTCCCAAAGTGCTGGGATTACAGGCGTGAGCCACCGCGCCCCGGCCCCCTTTCTGTATTTTATAGAAGAGTGTCCCAGGAGCCCCCGCACCCAGGGGTGGGTGTGCAGGAGAAGGGGGAGGTCCTTTTCTGCCTATTAATGCAGTTTTCACTTCTGAACATATTTTATATAACTTAGATGATCGCGGAGCCTCAGTTTCCTCGTCTGTAATATAGATTTGAAGGAAACTTAACCTCACAGAGCGTTGTAGAGAGTAAATGAAATATTCCGTAGAAAGTTCCTGACAGCATGAGGGAGGAGGCGTCACTCAGAAGGTGGGAGGTCATATCGAGGTTACAGTTTCATTGCCACACATGCACCCTAAAATCCTTAGACATATATATATACACACACACACACCCCTTGAGCCTACAGGTTTGCACAGATAGGTCATTCATGCATTCATCAACCAATGTTTGCTGAACACCTACTACATGCCAGGCCCTGTGGAAACGAACTAGACAAGACCTTCTTGGCTCCCACATTTTTTTTCCCCAAATACCTACACTTCAAGGAGAGCCACTTAAAAAATTGTTTTTAATTGACATGTAATATTAGGTTGGTGGAAAAGTTATTTTGGTTTTTTGCATTTAAAAGTAATAGCAAAAACCGCAATTACTTTTGCAGCAACCTATTATTGTACCTAGATGTGGAGTACCATGTGATGTTCTGGTACCTGTGTACATTGTGTAAAAGATCAAATCAAGGTACTTAGCATATCCATCACCTCATACATTTATGGCTTCTTTGGGGTGAGAACATTCAAAATCCCCACTTCTAGCTACTGTATTTTGAAATATACAATACTAGGGCCAGGTGCGGTGGCTCATGCCTATAATCCCATCACTTTGGGAAGCCAAAGCGGGCAGATCACCAAAGGTCATGAGTTCGAGACCATCCTGGTCAACATGGTGAAACCCTGCGTCTACAAAAATATAAAAAAATTAGCCAGGCATGATGGCGGGTGCCTGTAGTCCCAGCTACTCGGGGGGCTGAGGCAGGATAATCACTTGAACCCAGGCAGGTTGCAGTGAGCCGAGATCGTGCCACTGCACTCCAGAGCCTGGGTGACAGAGCAGGACTCCATGTAAAAAAAAAAAAAAAAAAAAAAAAGAAATGTGCAATATTGGTAGTTTTTACTTTTTCCTTTTATTTATTTTGAGGTGAGGTCTCACTCTGTCACCCAGGCTGGAGGGCAGTGGCATGATCATAGCTTACTGCAGCCTCCAACTGCTAGGCTCAAGCGATCTTCTCACCTCAGCCTCCCTAGTAGCTAAGACTACTGATGCATGCCACCAAGCCTAGCTAATTTTTTTTTTTTTTTTTGAGACGGAGTCTTGCTGGAATTACAGGCTTGAGCCACCACGCCCGGCTAACTTTTTGTATCTGTAGTAAAGACTGGGTTTCAACATATTGGCAAGGCTGGTCTTGAACTCCTGACCTGGTGATCTGCCCATCTCGGCCTCCCAAAGTGGTGGGATTACAGGCATAAGCCACCGAGCCCAGTCCCAACTAAGTTTTTAAAAATTTTTTGTAGAGATGGGGTCTCACTATGTTGCCCAGACTGGTTTCACACTCCTGGCCTCAAGTGATCCACCCGCCTTGACCTTCCAAAGTGCTGGAATTACAGGTGTGAGCCACCATGCCCAGCCCTAACTGTAATTTTGTACCTGTTAACCAATCTGTCTCTATCCTCCCACTACACCCCAGCCTCCTATAACCACTATTCTACTCAACTATGAGATTTATTTATTTATTTATTTATTTATTTATTTATTTGAGATGGCGTTTTGCTCTTGTTGCCCAGGCTCGAGTGCAGTGGCGTGACCTCGGCTCACTGCAACCTCTGCCTCCCAGGTTCAAGCGATTCTCTTGCCTCAGCCTTCTGAGTAGCTGGGATAACAGGCGCCCGCCAGCACACCCAGCTAATTTTTTTGTAATTTTAGTAGAGACGGGGTTTCACCATGTTCACCAGACTGGTCTCAAACTCCTGAAATCAGGTGATCCGCCCACCTCAGCCTCCCAAAGTGCTGGGATTGATTATAGGCGTGAGCCACTGCACCTGGCCGAGATCAACTTCTTTATTTCATTCCACATATATGAGAGACTATGTGGTGTTTGTCTTTCTATGCATGGCTTATTTTACTCTCATGATGTCCTCCAGGTTCATCTGTGTTGCCACAAATGACAGGATTTCAGTCGTTGGATCCCACTGTCTGATGGGGATGAGAAGTAATAAACCAGGGAGGAATAATACTTCCAGATAGTGACAAATGCTGTGACTAAAGTAAAATGGGGGAATGTGACACAGTCATCCACAGGTGATTTCTGGGTTAAGGTGGTCAAGAAAGACCTGTGGGAAGAGGTGATATTTATGCAGAGACCCAAATCATGAGTAGGGGCTAGCCTTGGGAAATCTGGGGGAAGAATTTAATAAGTGCAGGAGCCCTGAGGCTGGACCAGTTTTGAGAACAGAAAAAGGTCCTTGGTGGGGCTACAGCCAAGTGAGTAAGGGTGAGATCGGCAACATGGGCCAGGGCCAGATCACACAGGGCTATTTAGAGGGTTGTATTAGTGCCCTGTGGCTGCTATAAGTTGCCATGAACTTGGTGACTTAAAACAACAGAAATGTGGCCAGGCATGGTGGCTCATGCCTGTAATCCCAGCACTTTGGGAGGCTGAGGCAGGTGGATCACCTGAGGTCAGGAGTTAGAGACCAGCCTGGCCAACATGGCGAAACCCTGTTTCTACTAAAAATACAAAAAATTAGCCAGACATGGTGGTGCACGCCTGTAATCCCAGCTACTCGGGGGGAGGCTGAGGCAGGAGAATCAGGTGAACCTGGGAGGCAGAGGTTGCAGTGAGCCAAGATGGAGCCATTGCACTCCAGCTTGGGCAACAAGAGTGAAACCGTCTCAAGAAAGAAAGAAAGAAAGAAGGAAGGAAGGAAGGAAGGAAGGAGAGAGAGAGAGGAAGGAAGGAAGGAAGGAAGGAAGGAAGGAAGGAAGGAAGGAAGGAAGGAAGACAAAAGAAAAACCAGAAATTTACTCTCCCATAGTTCTGGAGGCCAGAAGTCTGAAATCAGTTTCACTGAGCCAAAATCTTCCAAAATTTGGGAAGAGCCAAAATCAGGTGTCCCAAGGGTCATGCTCCCTTTGCAGGGTCTAGAGGAGAATCCCATCCTTGTTCTTCCAACCCTGGTGGGGGCTGGTGGCACTCCTCAACCTATGACTGCATGGACCCTGTCTCTACCTCCTACTTCACATGGCCTCCTCCTCTTCTGTATGTATAACATCTCTGTCTGCCTCTCTTATAGGGACATTTATGATTGGGTTAGGGCCACCCAGATACTCCAGGATAGTCTTCCCCAAATACAGAATCTTAATTTGAGACTGGGCGTGGTGGCTGATGCCTGTAAACCTAGCACTTTGGGAAGCCAAGGCAGGAGGATGGGTTTGGCTCAGGAGTTCGAGACCAGCCTGGGCAACATAGCAAAGACCCCTGTCTCTAAAAAAAAAAAAAAAAAAAAAAATTGACAGGGTGTGGTGGTGCACACCTGTGGTCCCAGCTACTCAGGAGGCTGAGGTAGGAGGATTGCTTAAGCCCCAAGAGATTGAGGCTACAGTGAGTCATGTTTTTGCCTCTGCATGTTTTTGTGCTCTGCAAGGTGACAGAGCAAGACCCTGTTTCAAAAGGAAAAAAAAGAGAAAAGGAATCTTAATTTAGTCACTTAATCTGTAAAGACCTTATTACTTTATAAGGTAAGATGGACTGGTTCCAAGAATTAGGATCTGTTTTGTTCATTTGTTTGTTTGAGACAGGGTCTCACTCTGTTGCCCAGGCTGGAGTGCAATGGTGCCATCTCGGCTCACTACAACTTCCGCCTCCAGGGTTCAAGCAATCCTCCTGCCTCAGCCTCCTGAGTAGCTGGGACCACAGGTTCTTGAGCCACCAAGACTGGCTATTTTTTGTATTTTTTGTAAAGACTGGGTTTCACCATGATGCCCAGCTGGTCTCAAACTTGAGCTCAGGCAATCCTCCTGCCTTGACCTCCCAAAGTGCATGAGCCACTTATATCTTTTAGTGGCCATTATACAGCCTACCACAATGATGGAGAAGGGCTAACATTTTATTTTAAGGCCTGGAGTGTTTTGTTCTTGTTTTTTTTTTTTAGATGGAGTCTCGCTCTGTCGCCCTTGCTGGAGTTCAGTGGCGTAATCTAGGCTCACTGCAAGCTCCGCCTTCTGAGTTCATGCCATTCTCCTGCCTCAGCCTCAGCCTCAGTCACCGGAGTAGCTGGCTGGGACCACAGGCGCCCGCCACCATGCCTGGCTAATTTTTTTGTATTTTTAGTAGAGATGGGGTTTCCGTGTTAGCCAGGATGGTTTTGATCTCCTGACCTCGTGATCTGCCTGCTTTGGCCTCCCAAAGTGCTGGGATTACAGGCGTGAGCCACCGTGCCCGGCCAAGGCCTGGAGTGTTTTAATCAGGTGAAAGACAAGCTCTGATGAACACTTTAAAAATATCACTGGTTGATGCTGACTTAACCCTTTACTCACTCAACAGGATGTTCAACCCCCTCCCCTCAATGCACCTGAGACCCTGCCTCTGTCCCAGCACCCTACTTGCAGTAGGTACTCTGGAAATGAGAAGTGCTTCTTGGTAGCTGCAAAATTGTTACTCAGAGACCAGCCTCTCTGCAGACCAGTCCAAGTGCAGAACAAAGCTCGGGTGAGCCCTTAATTTTATTATGACACAGAAAACAAAAAGATTATTGTTTCTGAGGCAGATTCTAAAACAGTAGGGTGTTTTTGTTTTGGTTTTGGTTTGGATTTTGTGTGTGTGTGTGTGTGTGTGTGGTTTTTTTTTTTTTGTTAATCCCACTTTCATTCCTTTCAAATGGCAGCAAGCAAGACTGAATCACTCCACTGTTTTTCACTTTGACATTTTCTTCCAAACAAACTTCAGTCGACCCCTCGTCAGAAATAGTGGGAAGGAACCTGTCCCCAGACTGGAACCAGCTGCCCACCCACAGTCTCTTCTGGCGCCATGGGGTCCTGGATTCTTAGGATGGGGTTGGGGGACAGACAGCCTGTCTACGGCCAGGACTGGCCTCCCCTTCCCGGGCTCTGAGTAGCCATCTCCACACGGGATACCTGCAGTACATGTCTTGCCTCAGTTTTCTTCAGTTCTACAAAAGTTCCCTATTCTGACCAAATCCCCACTGTGTACTGGGCCTGCCCAGCTGTGGTCCCAGCTACTCAGCTACTTGGCAGTAGGGGTTCAG